TTCCTGCTGTATGCTTAATACTATTCCAATACTTTACATGCATTGACTCATTTATTTTTCACAATAATACCTAGCAAAAATAGGTACTTTGGTGAGCCCTATTTTCCAGAGGAGAAAACTAAGCACAGAGGTTAACTCATTGCACAGCCTAAGTAATTGGAATTATAGAGAAGCATTACCTTAATCAACTTCCATCTGACCTCAGACTGGATTGAACCCAGGATCCTCCTCTTACTAGCTGTGTGACTTTAGGTAAGTTAGAAACACTCTAAACCCCTCATCCTGATCTGTGAAATGGATTGATCATAGAATCCATATCATAGGGTTGCTGTGAGAATTAAGTGAAATTGTGACCAGTAGTTACGGAGCATTTCCTATGTGCCAGGACCTGTCTGAGCATTTTGTATGGACTAGCATTATTATCGTTGTTACACTGTAATTACCATTATTATCAATTTAATCTGTAACCCTTTGCTTCTCTGTATTTGTGAATTCCTTAAGAATCCCACAAAGCCCTCTGTTTTTGTTTTTGTTTTTGTTGCGGTACGCGGGCCTCTCACTGCTGTGGCCTCCCCCGTTATGGAGCACAGGCTCCGGACACGCAGGCCCGGCGGCCACGGCTCACGGGCCCAGCCGCTCCGCGGCATGAGGGATCCTCCCGGACCGGGGCACGAACCTGAGTCCCCTGCATCGGCAGGCAGACTCCCAACCACCGCGCCACCAGGGAAGCCCCCGCAAAGCCCTCTGAATCACCAAAAAATAAGAAAAACCTTCATTTCGATGTGATTTTCATATCCTCATTTTTTCGCAAAGTGTTTTAAAACATGTTTTTCAAAATCTGCAAAACTTAAAAAGAAAGTAAAACTTTTCATAATCTCACCACCATAGAAACATAAAGTGAGAAGTGAAATCTCTGCTCACTCTTTCAATTCTCCCTCCCAGTTAACCCACCGCCACCACCATCCATCCATCCACCAGTCCACCCGTCCATCCATTCATTCCTTCACTTCCTAAATGCTTTTGAGCACCTCTGCCATGCTGACAACAGTTTCAGGCACTGGTGATATAATGGAGCCTGGAGGCTCCATGAACTGACTTTCACTCCATCCTGATGAAAAGTTCTAATCCTCATATGGTAACTCCCAGCAAAAGTCACTTCTTGGGTAGCCAGAACCTTTTCCTAAGTGGACTGGGAATCTGGAGATTTGTGTTACTTCCTTACCCTGAGTACCGAGAGCACCTTAGGTAACTCTTGGAATGTATGTTTAAGTCTTTATTTTTTTTATTTTTATTTATTTATTTTTTTGCGGTACGCGGGCCTCTCACCGTCGCGGCCTCTCCCGTTGCGGAGCACAGGCTCCGGACGCGCAGGCTCAGCGGCCATGGCTCACGGGCCCAGCCGCTCCGCGGCATGTGGGATCTTCCCGGACCGGGGCACGAACCCGTGTCCCCTGCATCGGCAGGCGGACTCTCAGCCACTGCGCCACCAGCGAAGCCCATGTTTAAGTCTTTACTGACAGACTGCCAACTCTGAGTTCTCTCGAAATCTGTCCCAAACTGGCAGAGTGCTGTTGCTGTTGGCAACATGTGGGACAGAACCAGAGTGGCTTTATGGCAGGACTGAGAAAGTCCCTCCACCTACCTCCACTCCAGGTGTCTGGCCCACCATCTGTCCTATGCCTGAAAGTCCCAAATTTATCACTTTAGTGGGTTAAAACCAAAGGCCTTGAATAAGATGCAACTAAATAAAGTAAATGGTTTCCAAAGACTAACCAAGGACTATCTGTATTTCATCAGTTGCAGATCAGATTTTATTCCTGGAAACATTGATTTATTTGGAAACATTGATTTCCAAACACATCAGAATTACCCAGGAGCTTGTTTGAAATATAAATGTCCCAAGGCCAGCTCCAGGAAATTCTAACTCAATAGGTATGTGGTGGGTCCAGGGGATCCATATTGTTTCAGGCTGGCCAGGTAATTCTGAGGCAGACGTCTGTGGATGCACTGACTGAGTTCGGGGTATGTTAGTGCTGTGGATGAGTCTGTTTGTGGAGTAGAGAGCAGACCTGAGGAGGCATCTTGGCTGGAACCTTAGGATGACAAGGGCTGAGGCGCAAAGTGGACAGAAGCAAGAATGGGTGACGCAACAGTAAGAAAAAGATGCCACAGGCCAGTCCTGGATGAATCAGTGGCTTTGAAAATGAAGCCCAGAGCTGAGGATATAGCCAGTCTCAGGGCAGCAAGGGAGCCATTCCCTCTCCCAGCTCTGTAGTTATGTCCTTCTAATTTAGAAACTGGTCCAACGATTACTGGGCATCACTTGGCTTCTGAACACTCGAGGGAGCTCTCAGCCTCTTTATGCACTTTAGTTTATGACTTTGTTTGCTTCATCTCAGAAACTTTAAATGGTGACCTTGAGCCCTGAACATTTGCCTTTTCTTTTCCATTGAGTATATTTTCAACAAGGTAATTCATTAATATGGAAACCCAGGAACTCAGAAGCTCCAGCTCCTGAGTGGAGGCTTAAGCTACCTGCTTCGAAAACAGGTGCAGGGAAGTAATGACCCTAAAAAACATCATAGAACAAAGTCTATTTCCCTGTCCTAATTAAGGCTCATTCTAGTTCCAGAGACCAAAGTGTTTGGGTTAACTAGGGCCCCTGCTTGCCATATTTATTTACCCTAACACTCTACCTTCTGGCCTTTGAATGACACTGTCCATTTATAGTGGGGACTCAGGTTTCTCCCAGCGAGCTGAGTGCTCTGGAGATAACATGTTACCTCTCTCCAACATTTGGCTCTGGCAGATGTGTTCTCCAGGGGTGTCTATAGCTGGTCTTGCTTGGCAAAGAGCCTTGAAAACATTTTCCCTCCATTCTACAAATCGCTTGTCCTAGAAGAGCAGGAAAATTGAATGGCACCCAAAACAGCTCGTATTTGTGTTTTTCTGGACATCTTTAAGGGGTGATTGGTGCTTGGGAAAGAATTAGTCTCTTGGTTTATGAAGCTAGATGCTTGTTGGTTTTATCAGAAAGTGCATTCTGCTTAGTTGTTTACAATCTCAGGGAACACAGGGCTGGCCCCTGAGACCACCCGACTGATCTATGAGATGTTGTGACTGTGGGCACAGCAAGGTAATATAAAATGGTGGGAAAGCCGAAGGTTTAATGACTTGACTCCCTAATTCCTGGGAAAGCAGCCCTCAAACATCGCCAGCCTTCACCTCCAGGAACGGAGAAACGGAGACTACAGGCTAGATGCTCCTCAGGGAGAGTAGCCACGCTCATGTAACTGACACTAACTACTTAGTGTCAGTTACAAATTAGCTCTTTCAGGAGAAGATTCCTCTTGAAAAAATAGTTTGCACATAAAAACATCTGCAGTTGGGTGGCAGTAGCCTGTGAGATGCCTTAGAAAACCTCTTCAACTCAGACTTGACTCATTACGCATAGGTGATGAGGGGACATGGGGTAGATGTGTGAAAACAGAACCTGCAAGGGACTCCTGTGTCAGGAGTCAGAGAACCAATGGCACTGACAGGGAAGGAGGAGGGACTTTGGCTAGTGCGTACATATGCATGTTCCAAAACTTAATCCTCACAGCAATCCCATGAGGTTGCAGGTAGCCTCTCTACGCCTCGACTTGCACATCTGTAAAACGGGAATAAGTCACTAAACAAGGTCATATAGCTGGTAAGTGGCTGGACAAGCTCCGTGTCTCGTGTAATTGTGTATATGACTCTTGTCTACTCCTCATGGCTTTGCTTTAACCCAGGAAGTGCTTTTGCCCCAAACAACTGAAAAAACAAAATTCCACCCAATCTGCTTGCGGGCCCTCTCTTTTTCCTGACTCCCTTCCCAAGGCTGGGAGCGTGACTTCATTTGCCCCACAGTCTTTCTTTCAAATATGTTCATAATTCTTAATAAGGCGTCCACGTTCCCACAAACATTTTCATTTCAGTCAGAAGTGTCACAGGCTGAACGAGTTCATGCTCCAACACCACCGGGTTAGGCCATCAAAAAAGGGTGTTGCCAAAAGTATACCCAAGGTGAGAGAGAGCGTGGTTAGCTGGCTCGAGAGTGAGGACGACAGTAGACTGTTTCCAAGCATGCTCTAAGATAATAATAATATAGAAATATAAAATAGGTCTATCTTAGGATAGATTGGTAGAGAACAAATTGTCCGCTTATGTACGGAAAGCCACAGCTGCGCCTCAAGGAAGTGGCTTGGTTGGCAGGGGTGGAAACCCCCGGTGGCTGAGGTTCACAGATCCGAGATTATTCTCCTCTTCCTTCCTGTTTTCATGGTCGTGGCCCAGTTATTTAACTTTTCCAAACCTCAATTTCCTCGTTTGCCAAACAGGCATAATGATTCCTTGGTTTTAGGGGTTTCGTAAGAATTAAGTGTGTGGATGTCCCCCATATTCTTGAAACACGATGGATGGCAGCCGGCATTACTCTTGGAGTAGGTATGGAAAGAAACACTTTCAGACTTGGAAGTAATAAAACCACATTTTCCGAAACATGCTTCTTGGCTCAGATGGTTTTCTTGTTGGGGCAGCTCTCTCTCTCTCAATGTATTTCCTAGATACCTTCCAAGGCAAAAACAAAGCACTATCTACAAACACCAGTGTTTGTAAATTGGTGAAACTCTAATGAGCTTTCTGAGAAGCTCTAAATTTATTCTCAATTTTCAAGGAGGAAGGAGATCTGGGACAGAGAAATCAAATAAGATTCTCAAAGATGTAACCTGGGTGTCTCTCAACTTTTATCTCAGTGCTTACTTAAGAGGTGGTAAAGCATGTTTCCTTTAGCCCTAAAAAATTACCTGGGCAACAAAGTTTGCCTTGGGAGTTTTCATCAAAGCAGGGGCCACCAGGTCCATAGGAAATATTTCAGATAATGCAGTTAGTCAGAAGCAAAATATAGCATCTATTGAATCTCATGGTCCTCTTTTGGCAACGCTCTACAGGGATGCAAATGGTTTTCCTCAGGGTGTGGTACGAAGGAGGGCCCTGATTTAAATTCTGAATCCCATCACCAGCTCTTCAATGCTTTTTTTTTTTTTTTCTTTTATGTTTTTCAGGTACTCTCCCCTAGGTATCGCCTGCCTAATTTGTGGGAAGATCATTGCAATCAAGGACTTAGAAGTGGTCGCTAGACAACTGGGGATGTACATGATCACGGTGATTGTCGGCCTCATCATCCATGGGGGCATCTTTCTCCCCTTGATTTACTTTCTAGTGACCAGGAAAAACCCTTTCTCTTTTTTTGCTGGCATTTTCCAAGCTTGGATCACTGCCCTGGGTACCGCTTCCAGGTAGAGAACACAAGAAATCACTGTTGTCTCTCTCTGCTCATGCCTTTTCCTTCTTTGTCACTTCCTCTTTTTCAAAACCTTCCCATCACAGCGTTCAGTGAGAACACTTTTCACATATTTTAAAAATATTTTTGAAAAAGTGGAACATTTTAGATTCTTCACTCCTTTTAGGAACTTTTAAGCTTTCTGATGAACTTTTTGCTGGTATGTAGCTGTCTTGGAGCTATGATCTCATATTGTTTCCCAGGTGAATACATGCTATTCATCTCTAGGCATAATTTGCCACATATAGCATTAGTTCAGTTTTAAATGTTTTCCAAAAAGGTGTAACAGGATGTTATTTTATTTAAGAAATTCTCTCACCTGTGATTTGAGAAAGGCTACTATATCACTGTACTGGAATAATTTTTCAAAAGTAGAACAAGGTTTTGCAGGGTAAACGGTAGGTTAGGTGAGATTTTTCAAACAAACCAGAAGTCAGACAAGTCTTTGAACCTGTAATGGACTACTCTGCCCCATTGACTTTGAGGAAAGTCAGGTTGGCATTGATTTGACTTAACATTGACCGAGAGTCAGTTCCTTCTTCATTACCTAGTCCCAGTTCCTCCCAGAAGCCAGTGAGGACTCCAGAGATATGCAAGCAAAAAAATCTTTTTTTTTTTTTTTATATCATCTTGGACTGAATTTAGCAAAAATAAAACCAACAACCAAACAAAAACAGATGATACATAAGAAACAGCCAGCAATGTAGAATTTCAAAGACTAAAAGGGTTTTATTCTTTCAGCCTGCAATAGTTGCTTTTATTTCTGCATGTGTATCCTTGGGTCACAAAACAAAGACTGAGGCCATAAAGCAGGTGGCAGGGAGGCAAGTAAACTCTGCAACCCATAGCTCAGCGTCATCTCTGGAGTCACAGGTTGGCAGGTCCTTGTTACAGAACCCACGACCCCTCACTGCCAGGGAGGCAGCCACTCTGTGACACAGGGAGATTTTTTTTTTTTTTTTTTTTTTTTCAAAACTACTGAGCAGTCAGTCAGGTTTTCCTTAAGTGACCTAACAGGCCAATAGTGGTGACAACCTGGGAAAGCCAAATTATATTTCCATCTTGCAAATCAGTGAGAATTCTGTACTAGTAGAACGTGAGGTTTCAGAAAAAGCTAAAATCTATACAATTCGGGAGATCTAGATTCTGCATTCAGTTTCCCAAGATGAAGGGAGACACTTCAAAATTTCCTTTTTCCTTTTTGGTCCTATACATTTCTTATCGCTAAGTATCTCTATCCATAAAGATTTTCTCATTTTGGTGAAAAAGTTATCTTTTTTTCAAAAATAAAAACAATCATGTTTAGTTTTATTTTTGTTTTCTGGTTATGAGCATGGTATTTGGTCATTATGAAAAAGTTCAGACAGTGTATACAATTTTGGAGGAAGAAAAATGGGCAACACCACTGATAACTGGTAGTAACCTTTTTGTTAATCTTTACAGTTATGTACATTTCCAGTTCTTATTATGTATAGATATTGTACACTGCTATTTTCACTGGTCAACATATCATAAAAGTTATATCTATTAATATAGCTCTTACTATATCTATTACTACATATCTATTACTACTATTTTTAAACTTCATAATAATATACTGTAGGTACTACAATACATCCCCCACCCCAAATGTACATTTAAACCTTGTCTATTAAACAGGGCAGTGACAAGCATCCTTGTAAATACATTTCTGCAAGGATGTTTGGTGATCCCCTCAGGATAAATTTCTAGAAGTGGAATTTCTGAATCCAGTGGTAAGCACCCTGATGGTTTTGAAACATATCACCAGATTACTATTTAGAAAAGTACATTCGTTTATGTGCCCACTAACTGGGTACACGAGCGTGGCTTTATCCACCTGCTCATCAACACTGAACATTATCTGTCACTTTAATACTTTCAAATCCTATTGGTGAAAAGTGATCTCACTGAATTTGCATTATTTTGATTACTAGTGAGGGGAAACACCTTTTTTATGTTCTTTTTGACCATCCTTCCCTCCCCTCCTCTGCCCTGTGAATTGTTTGTGAGCTTAATTTCCTGTTGGGGTGTTTATCCTTTCCTGATTGGTTTTCAGCTCTCTACGTGTACAGAAATATCAACTCATGTGTCATATGTTGTAAATAGTGTCCCCCTTCACTTGACATTTGTCTTAAAAACTTACAGCGCTTTTTTTTGTGTGTGTGTGGTATGCGGGCCTCTCACTGTTGTGGCCTCTCCCCTTGCGGAGCACAGGCTCCGGACGCGCAGGCTCAGCGGCCATGGCTCACGGGCCCAGCCGCTCCGCGGCACGTGGGATCTTCCCGGACCGGGGCACGAACCCATGTCCCCTGCATCGGCAGGCGGACTCTCAACCACTGTGCCACCAGGGAAGCCCTTACAGCGCTTTTTGCCACTAGCAGGTTTTAATTTGTATGTAGTCAAAGTCGTCAGTGTTTTCCTTTGGTATTTAGAACTTTGATTTTGCTTAGGAATATCTTTTCCACCAAAGATTATAAAATATAACTTTATATTTTCTTCCAATACCTTTATGGTTTTGATACTACACTATTTCAAAATATTATCATTATCTTTTCTTTTGAATGACTAGACAATTATTCTAGTCCCTTTATAAGACAAAGGTAAATCTTAAAAGCATAGGGAAAACCCCAAATCACATTTAAATCAAAGACAAATTCTTGGGTTATCTGACCAAGACCACAAACATTAGACTCATATCTCCCCCTTGCCCTGTATTTCATCTGAAAAAAAAATATGGTTTTAATCTTTGGTTAAAATGTGGCTCTTGCCTAGATGAGGAATTTCTTTTTTAAAAAAGTCACTGTAGCAGGAGTCATGTACTAAGAATTAACTCAGGGTTTATTTGCCATTATGACCACAGGGGAAAAGCCCTGGGACAGCCAGCGCTAAATATACTTTCCACCTCCTCAGATGTTGGACTGAATGGGGATGTGCAGGGGAAGGGTTGACCCCATTTTCTCAAGAGGCACAGAGGCTGGTGTCAAGGCAGCTGAATGGAGTGGGGATGGCCTGCGACACGTCTCTCTGCATCCCTCTGACTTCCGAGTGCGCTGTTAAAACTAATCTGGATAAAAACAAGAAGAATCTCAAGTACCAGACAGTTATTATTCATTTGAAGACTGTCATATGGCCACTGAGGCAGGAACCAAAAAAACAATGTCAGAATGTCAGCCTGTCAACACAGGAAAGTTAAAATTCTCAAGTCCCAGTTTGGACTGATGGGGTGCATATGGATTTTTAAGACACAAAGCCTGTCCAGTAGTGACATTAAGAATATTTTCATGCCTTACCAGTTGTTTTCTCCAATCTGTTGAATTGTCTAAAGACCCTTTGATGACACTGTGGGAAAATGAATGCAGTAATAATAATGGATATATTCCAGTCCTCCCAGCAGTGTCCTTAGATTCATACCGATGAGAATTCAGCTGCCAGCCATAGCCTCGCTGCCATTTCAGACTAGTCATGGTGTCCTGGTAACCTCAAAGGGGTCTTAGGAAAGGGCTGGGAGTGTGCGAGAGAGGAATAAAGGGACACTAACTTCTCATTAAAACAGCTGGGGCAGCAAGCCAGGTACGATGGCACCCCAGCATGTGAATGAGGCCGGACTCCAACTTTTCTCCCTGGGTTTATAAGGTTTTGGTAATGAGAGATCTCCAAACATCCATTTCTTCTCCCCACCTAAGACCAAAGAAGAGGCATGAGATAGACCCCTGACCTAAAATCACAAAGAATGTTCCAGTAAGATGACTCTGGTTACCCTAAGGTTGTTAACAGGGCTTGTGCGTCCATGGGTTGATAAGATGCAGATCTAGGAGACCCTAATTTTAGAGCTTCAGGGACTTTGGTTCTGCACAGGCCCTGGAATCTGCATTTTACTTAGCATGCCTAAAGCTGACAGTCCTGTCCCACTCTCTGAGAAACTGACACCTCTGCAGATGTCTTTGTCCAGCTTGGCTGGAGCCCTAATTCTGACAAGTAGAAGGAGGGAGCTATGACTAAGGCTGTAAATGCAAGAGAGAAAAATGTGCTGTCTGCACTGGGGACAGTTTGCTAATGTTTGAATAAGAGAAAAGAGAATGGACCACAAGGTACTCCCATGGCAGCTGGAATGTTCTACATTGCTTTCCATATCACTTAAACCTTGAAGCAAATCCGCCTGCCCTCCCATCACCTCTATCCACATGGAAATAATATTCTGGCTTTCAGCAACACTTACTCTTATAGGTCTCCTGTTTTAGAAGGCACAGAACATGTCAGGAGTTCTGGCCTTTGAGATTGATTCATATGGTCATGAATTCCCATCCCATGCCTGGGAGGAGTGAGGGTGAAGTCACTCCATGTTGGGTCTTTGATTAGCTCCAGAGCACAGGCTTTTCTGCCCTATGTCATTGGAGAGAGAATTGGCAATGACCATTTATCAGGGAGTTGGACCGTCTGTGAGGGTCCCCAGTGAATTGCTAGAAGCTTGGACTCTTGCTGAATGGTCATTAACATATTTGTCCAGCCTTCTCAACATTAGCAGGCCCGGCTCAGGGCAATTCCCAGGGGCTAGATACAACCCATGTCGTCATCTTGTTGGAAACAGTGTTTCTAGGGGTCATTATGGGTCATTATGGGTCATTCAAGAAATTATGGGTCATTCAAGAATTCCTCATTCCATCTTACTGTTGATAGCTAATCCCTTTCTGACACTTTATTTTGGCAGCCCAATTGATGTGGGCAATCACATGGGCTTCAATAGTTAATCCAAGATGGAAACAATGACCAAAGGGAAAGGAGAACTTGAAGCTCTGAGTAGATCTCAAAAGCTGGAACCAACAAAAATATTTTGCTGACTATTAGCATGTTAATGAGATTGTATTTGAGCCCCCAAATCAATGGGCTTTTTTTTCTTTATTATTAGAATTAAATTTTATTTGGATTTTATCTTTTAAATTTTTACTGGAGTACAGAACTCTACTCAATACTCTGGAATGGCCTATATGGCAAATCGATGGTTTTTAATTTAGCTCCAGACACTGCTTTTTTTCAATTCACATCGATTGGAACAAAAGAACGAAGGCTTTGTGGTGGCATTTCAGTTTGTGCTTTGTTCTGTGTCTCTAAAACGGACATAACTCTTGTCTCTCTCTCTTTGCCCCTTAGTGCTGGAACTTTGCCTGTCACCTTCCGTTGCCTGGAAGAAAATCTGGGGATCGATAAGCGTGTAACCAGATTTGTCCTACCAGTTGGAGCCACCATTAACATGGACGGTACAGCCCTTTATGAAGCCGTAGCCGCCATCTTTATAGCCCAGATGAATGGCGTCATCCTAGATGGAGGCCAGATTGTGACCGTAAGGTGAGTGAAATGGGTGGTGTGAAGCACTGAAACAACTTTTGACCTTATCCCCTTCCACGCTAACTCCATTTCACAGAGGCCACTTGAACTGCCGTTCTGCAGTTAGAAGAATGGTAAGGGAAGTAAAGGAGAACAGGACCTGCTGGCAGGCTTGAAGGGAAGATTGGTTCAGGAAGGAATCAGGCTCATACTAATGCCTTATGTTTGTATAGCCCACGTGAAACTGCTTCAGAAATTTGATATGATTTGATTTTTAACAGTCCTGTGACGTTGCAAGGCAGTTATTTCTATGATTATTTAATAGATGAGGAAGCACAGGCTTCAAGGGGCATATGGTAGTTGGTCTGAGGCTGTAATACCATCAGTAACGAGCCAGCAGGGCTGTCACCGAGGCCAACATCAACTGACTCTGGATCCAGTTTTTCTTTCATTAAAATATGTTCCCTTCAGCATTCCAAGGAGTGACGGCAAAAATGATGAGATACAGGGAGGAAGAGATTCCTCAATATAGCATAACATTATATTACAAATAAACAGCAAATATTTTTTTTTGTTTTTACTAAAGGTATTTTTACCATATGTAGTGATCATTTAAAAATATTCAGAAAGAATAATTTTCCAAGACGTCACTAAAAACACATTGCTTCTCTGCAAATTTAAAGATCACACCTACTTACATATATTAATTTATCTAATCCTCACAACCACCCTATGAGGTGTGTACTTGTCTCAGTCAGCTCGGGCTGCTGTAACAAAATACCATAGACTATGGCTCAAACAGCAGATGTTTACTTCTCACAGTTCTGGAGGATGGGAAGTCCAAGATTAAGGGGCCGGCGGGTTCAGCTCCTGGTGAATGTCCTCTTCCTGGCTTGCATATGACTGCCTTCTAGATGTTTGCTCACATGGCCCTACCTTGGTGCATGGAGAGAGCGAGCGAGCTCTCTTACATCTCTGCTTATAAGGGCACTAATCCCATCATGAGGGCTCTACCTTCATGACCTAATTACTTCCCAAGGCCGTATCTCCAAATATCATCACACTGGAGGTGAGGGCTTGAACAAATGAACTCAGGGGGGACACAACTCAGCCCATAGCAGTACTGTAGGGGAGCCTCAGTTTCCTGTATAATGGGTACAATAATCACATATTCTAGTGTGGCTGAGAGCATAGTCACCTGTCAATAAATGTTAGCTACTAGTATTATTACTATTACTGATGCTTAATAAAATACAGTACTCCTAGGATATGAAAGAAAAATGTGACTATGATATAGTGAGTGCCGTGATGTTACTCAGTGGAAAACATGCTTCGGGTCAGATTATCAAGCCATCTAAGTCCTGTCCTAACAGATTGCATGTGAGACTGCCAATCTCCCTTGCTTTAAAATTCAAAGACAAATAGAGCTTCTTAATGGCCCTAAATTCTCCCCATTGATGAAGCAACCATGCTTCCCATCAAGCTCACACCATTAGATGAGGACTTAGAGGTGGGAGGATGTACCAGGGAGTGACCGGGTGGTTGAGACTGTGCTTGAATTATTTAAATTTATCCTTTATTTTAACAATGATACAACTGAGAATTTTCACTGGACAAAGGGTAAAGTTGGCCAAATATATTTAATACTTGTGCCCCTGGCAAGTTCAGCTGAATCTGCCATATCTGTACATGTCACAAGGGCTGTCTCTGGGGGGACCGCCCCCTCTCCATGGAGTGTATGTAGTTCAATGTCTTCAATTTAGTCAGAAAAAAAGAGCCAAGTCCAGCTTCACTGCTGTGCTATGAGTACATTCCTCATCTTTTCATTTCCCTGCAGGCAGGAGAACAGTGGCCAGGAATTCTCAGCAAATTCGTTAAGTCATAGCGTTTTCAATGTGAGGAGGAATCAAGGGACATCAAAAGCCAGTGTGGTATTGGAATCAAGCAGACAAGTGTTCAAATCCCAGCAGACCATGTTCAAGCTGTGTGACCCTAAGTTTCTCCACCCTTCCAATCAGTGGTACTACCGTATGTACCTTGCAGGGTTACTGTGACGTTCTGCTGTGATTAATGTGTGTGTGTGGTAACTTGTACAACATCCAAGAACCAGCCATAGGGAAATGAGTCAGGGAAGGACAGGAAAAGCAGGAGGGGATAAAAGGACAGGGGGAGATCACCGCCCAGGGAGCTATTACAGGACTTACAATGCCCCAGACACTCCACCTGTGGTCGGGTGAGGGTATAATTGGGATGGAGGAACAGAAAGAGAACCAGCCACCAGGAAGATTTCTTTATAGGATTTTGTCTCACACAACCAAGGGGTAACAAGACAATGTGGCCACATTACACAGGGATGTGTAAGAGTGACTCATGTAATGGAAGCAACTGATGTTGTAAACAAAATTGCCGAGGCCAAGATCATTGGAACTTGGGAAGTTCCCCTTCCCTGGTGTTCTATCCATCTTGGGAAAATGACTGAGAATTCCCACCTGCCAACTCTCGGGACTAGGGATGTTTTCATTGCAAAGCAGCTCCGGTTGCAATGTGCTGGCCTCTTCTAAGTGCTTTATTTCTGAGCTCCTGATGCCTCCATGAGTGAGACACCATTGTTATCTTCTTTTCTACAGATGAGAAAATCAAGGCACAAAGAGGTTAAGTAAGTTGCCCAAAGTCATGTGGTTAAGTGACAGAGTTGGGATTTGAACCTAGGTCATTCAACTCTAGAACCTTCGCTGATAACCACTACACACTACTCTACCTCCTATGACCTAGATGGATCTTCCGCAAAAAATGGAGTTCTTTAAACCCTGACACCAACTCCACATTAATGGGGCAGGGGAAAAGCAAAGATGGGTTCTAGATCCCACCTAGGGGAAGTGTCTATTCTGTGAAAGCCGAAATGGGGGAAGGATGGCAATATGGAAAAACCAGTGCAAAACACAAAACCTCCCAGGACCTTTCTTTCCTCATATGTAAGAGTAGGTAAATTTGGGTTCCTCTTGACTGTAAGACCAGGATTCTGTGCTTGGACACACCAGTTGGCAAACCAGTTTGGGAGTCTGATTCTTAGTTTCAAGCCCGAAGACCTACCAAAAAAATTCTGGAATCATATAACCACAAAGAAAGCAGCCCCTTTTTTCTTTTCAGCAGCCAGAAAAGCAAGTTGGAAATCCCTGTTTTCATACGCCTCCTTCCATTTAGAAATGATGATAGCTTTTATAATTAACATCCAGAAAAGAGGAGAAAAAGTCACTGCCCTTTGCTGGACCACAGAGGCCCCCTGGTGTCTAGACAGGGCCCTTGAACCCTAGATTAAACCCTCTTCCGGAGACAACTTCAAAATGGTGCTGGGTATGCCCTAGGCATTGCTTGGAAAGCAAGGGATGAGATGCTTCAGAAGGAAAGCCTCCTGTTATTTTATTGTCATTTCTTGGCACCCTCTTTCTGAATAATGTATTTTCCAGCCCATGGTGAAACGTCCAGGCACCTGAACCTTAATGTCATTTGGAATTCTTTTGGCTTTGTTCTCCCGATGTCCACTCAGTTGAGTCTGGATACTTGCTGTTCTGAGTTCTCATGTTAACATTGGCAACCTTCTCAGACTCTTGCCACGCAGACTAGAAGTCTCTGGTTCTCACAGAGACGTAAAGGGGTAAGCAGAAATGAATGCTGTGGTGTTCCTGTGGAAGGATTAAGGGTGACTTGTTTTCCTTCTTTGATATTTCCTTGCCTGCTTTTAGAGCCACGCTTACCTTGTTTGAGCCCTGTGATATATTCAGTGAACTGGATGTCATGATGGGGGTAAGACTCTCATCCATGAATTTATAAGTTTCCATCAGGGTTAAGCAGAATCCAAATAGACCCTATTTCCTGGGTCTTGGTACTCCAGATTTCTTTATTCCTTGGGAGGAAAAGGGGATTTTATGACTGCCGGGAGAAATTAGAGCCGAGAATTGCCTGCCAGGGATGGTTTTGCCAAGACCACTTTCTCTTCCCTTGACCTGGCCTTTTCTGTTCTCGCAGCCTCACGGCCACGCTGGCCAGCGTTGGTGCAGCCAGTATCCCCAGTGCCGGGCTCGTCACCATGCTCCTCATTCTGACAGCTGTGGGCTTGCCGACCGAGGACATCAGCTTGCTGGTGGCTGTGGACTGGCTGCTGTAAGTGTCTGTGTGTGTGCTTCTGCCGGGGATGTGAACACTGCCTCCCGGGGGTGGACAGGATGCAAGGCTGCAGCCAAGATCTTCACCAATCCCCATGAGAACTCCCCTGTTTCCTTCCTCCTTTCTTCCTTCCAACATTTGCTGAGTGCTTATTTGGGAACCAGAGAAGGAAAAGAATCTTTGAGGGCTTCAGAGTCTAGCGGAGGAAGCAGGTAAATTATAAGACAAAGTTAAAAGCAAAGCTATAAGGGGGGGCTTCCCTGGTGGCGCAGTGGTTGAGAGTCCGCCTGCCGATGCCGGGGACACGGGTTCGTGCCCCGGTCCGGGAGGATCCCACATGCCGCAGAGCAGCTGGGCCCGTGAGCCATGGCCGCTGAGCCTGCGCGTCCGGAGCCTGTGCTATAAGGGACCCATACCAAAGCAGGCAAAGGATCTCAAAGCACAATGCTGAGTGAACGAAGCACAAAGGAATATATACTGTATGATTCCATTTATATGATGCTCTAGGAAAGACAATATAGTCTCTAGCAATAGAAAGAGATCATGGCTGCCTGGGCCCAGAAGTAGAGGCGTGAGGATTGACTGGGAAGGGCACAAAGAAAGCTTTAGGAGGGATAGAAATGTCCCATGTTCACTGGTATGCACAGGTGTCCACATTTGTCGGAACTCACCATACCACACGCTTAAAATGGGTACATTTTATTGTTATGTAAATTACACTTCAACAAAGTAGATTTTAAAAGAGCACACACATAGAAGAATAGCGATAGAGACAGACACACATCCCAGTCTAGGTTGGAAGGGCAGAGTGGAGAAACCAGAAAACAAGGAAGATGGCTGCTGAATTTGAGGGCCTACTATGTGCCAGCTGCTACATGGAGCCCTTCACCGCTGCCTCTAACAACTGCCATTTTATAGATAAGAAGACTGAGGTTTAGGGAGAATGAGTAGAGATTTGGCCCTATGTCTGCTTGGCTTTGGAGGCCACCAATTCATAATCATGGCCACGTTCAAGCTTCTAAAGGCAGTGATAGCTGAGCTGGATCATAACGGGTAGGTAGAAGTTACCCAGGTGTCCATAAGTGGGGGCGGGAATAGGACATTCTGGTCAAGGCCAGCCCACACAAAGGCACTGAGGCAACAAATCGTATGGGGACCTATGAGTGGTTTGATATTGTTGGAGCACAAAGTGTAAGGCAAGGAGTGGTAAAAGGTGAGGCAAGATGGACAGCCTTGAGGCCATGCAGAGATGCTTGAACTTGACAGTGTATACATAGCCCTGCTCCCTTTCCCAGTGAAGGGCATTGTCCTAGCGTGGGACTCTCAGCCCATTCCCAAAGGTGGGTCAGTCTAGCCGGATGGTCCCCAAAAAGGAGGCTGGAATCAATTCTTGCTAAGGTCTCACTGGGGCTCTGATATTCTATGGGATGTACACTGAAACTTCCGGTCCAGCACTGGAGCTAGGTGACAGGAGCTGGGGGATGCCATTGGCTTCAAAGTCAGAGGCTCGGAGTAACAGGTGCAGCGATCCAAGGCCAAAGTGCTCACACTTATTTTCTTTTTATTACCCTACATTCCATTAGCAATCTTTCTGACATTTATTGACAAAGATTTTAAGAGGCAGAAGCCACATTTTACGGACTTGAGTTTCCTCAAGGCTAAAACAGGTTCCACTTTTCTTCAACCACCCTTCCAAAGAGAGAACCGTGCAAGTGACTGAAGGGAAGGCTAGGAGGAAGCCTGGTCTTTCCAGAGAGCTTGCTTGCTGTTGAAGTTTAGGTTAGAAATGAGACGTGGACTGAATCTGTTCAACTCAGCAGGGCTGCGAGGAAGGGCACGGATCTCCCTGACTGGTTCTTCCATCACCAGAGAAATGCTCTGGAAATGCCTTTCGTGGGAAGGTGACGAGCAAAGGAAATGACTCTTACCTGTCCCTGCCTGTCTCTCTCAGGCGGGGGTGGCGGGGTCCTCAGCGCCATCTTGGTTGTTCTCTGTGCCCTACACTGGCCCCAAGGGGCAGTCTTTCTCATGAGGTCCATTCAGACAGGGCAGTCATGGGGGCAGCTGAGATTCGGTGGTGGTGAATGGTGGAAGGATCTGGAGGGAATAGGATGGAGACAAAGGGGTGGGGTTGGATTTGGTTAGGAGGACAAAGAGGAAATGGAGACGGTGGCAACCGCTTGGGGACAGAGCACACAGTAGGAGCTCAATAAATGCATGCTAAAAGTTACCCACAGAGCTGCTGCGTGATAACCAGGGGCCTTTCTACACATGAAGAAAGACAGAGGAAGCTATTAAAGTCCCAGCTGCTTCCCTTGTGGCTTTGGCTTACTGAGCCCCCTGCCTCTTTGCCCCTTGAACTTTCGTTGTCATCGAGGGTCCTTTGCCTGCTCCAACTACGTTGCCTATTCTCTTCTTGGGCTTGTTGCTGAGGCTTGAAATCCACCATTAGAGATTCATCTCTTTAACAGTTATTGTTATAGATGCTGCCTCCATTATAATGCAAATGCATTTAAGCGGAAAAATGTACTTGTGTTATCAGGAATGTAGGAAAGGAGCAGATATTTGGTGTTACCACCATGCTCTTTTTTTTTTTTTTTTTTTTTACATCTTTATTGGAGTATAATTGCTTTACAATGGTGTGTTAGTTTCTGCTTTATAACAAAGTGAATCAGTTATACATATACATATGTTCCCATATCTCTTCCCTCTTGCGTCTCCCTCCCTCCCACCCTCCCTGTCCCACCCCTCCAGGCGGTCACAAAGCGCCGAGCTGATCTCCCTGTGCTATGCGGCTGCTTCCCACTAGCGATCTACCTTACATTTGGTAGTGTATATATGTCCACGCCTCTCTCTCGCCCTGTCACAGCTCACCCTTCCCCCTCCCCATCCATGCTCTTTACCTCAGTTTAAAGTTAATCCTTAAAGATCACTATGGTGTGTTTAACAGATGAGGAAACTGGGCATCAAAAGGCACAGGGGAGCTTGTGCGGCCAGGTCAGGGCCCTTCACGCCACCCCACACAGCATCCTGGTTGGTACCCAGCAGATCTAACAGTGGAGGGGAGGAACAGAGGGGTCCAGAGTCAGAGAGGTTGGGGAAAACAGACCTATTCGGGTCACCCCCGGTTCTACATGCTAATCAGAGAATTTTTTGTCTGACCTGGTCTCTCCCCTCTCCCAGTATTAAAACAAAACAAAACAAACAGGTTAAGTGGGGACAAATGGGATACAATCAAGGTCTCAGCCACTCTTAGAATTCAGGTCCTCCAGCCCCAGCCCCCCAGGTCATTCACTGTGGGCCCTGTCTTTCTGACAGTCGTCTGCTTCCAAGCCTGTTGGAGGAGCGTCACCTCATGAAACGTTCAAGACCCTGTCCCCTCCTGACCCAAATGTCAGCGAATGGGCGCTCACATGCTCACACTTGCACCCAGAGCAGGGCGTCTTAACTCCAGGGCTGAAACGTGCTAGCAGAAGGGAGTTGGCTGAACAACAAAAAACATGATGATATATTTGGATTAACTCTATTGATGAAATTGCATTTGAGAAAACTCTTCCCCAGGTTGCAGCTGGAAAGGGAAGAGTGATTGAAGGCTCTCGTCTAGTTCTGGGGTCTGATCTCAGATGGAAAGAGGCCCTGTGATCAAGGGAAGAAAGGCAGAGGCAGAGCCCTGCAAGCTCTGAGCTCTGCACCTAGTCGCTGTGGGGCTGCGGGCGAGTTACTTACTCTCTGGATTCAGCTGTGTGGTGTGTACAATAGGAACAGTAACTTACCAGCTTGAAAGCACAGTCTAGACCCCATGCCCTTGAGTGCCCTTCTAGTTTTAAGACCCAGACTAGACTTCTGCTGGTGATGGATGTTTGTATACAAATAAGCATGAACGCTCCTTTTCAGAAGAAAAGAAGAAGGGAGGGTATAGGATCCTGGGAAAGTGTGCATAGGGGTCTGTAGCTAGGTCAGATCTGCTTTGAATTAGGAATGGTTCCACATTCTTTGTCACCAGCAAGAGGAGTTCTGGAAACACGCTCTTGGTCATGGGCGCCGTGGCTGTTGGGTGCCCATCAGCGTGTGAGTGGGGCAGGGGGATGAGTTGACAGAGGGGTGCAGGGATTCCCTGGTGACACGTAGTCTGTGGGGGGAAAGCAGAGACAAAGAACAGGGGGGCATTTCTTTTCCTCCCCTTGCCTTTTCCTCCCCAGGCAAGGTTTGTAAGCTTTCAATTTGTAAGCTTTCAACTTTTCAATTTAAAACCAAACAAAGCCCGCAGTGACATTTAATGTGCCATGGTGTTTGCCAACTGCTGGAGATCAGCCAGCCTCATTACTGCCCGCCGAGCCCTGGACGTTTTTCAATGAGCAGGCTTAGCTGCTCTGTAAATGTCATGGTGGAAACCAAGATTCTGAGCCCTGAAAAGTATCCGAGTCCTAGAACACCGGATGGGTGGGGCTGGTAAAAACAGAACCTTCCCCAGAATCTAAGAAGCCCTTTGTAACAGGAGTCCTTGGCAGGTATTTATGAGATCTTGTGACACCCCTCTCTCTCTGAAGGATTCAGGATGGAAGGAGAACTGTGGGCCAATACCAGGAAGAGATGATAAATAACTGGGTCTGGGAAAAGGAAAGCCAAGTGGATCTATGGCCCACTTATCACATGGGGCTGTTAGTGAGATAGTTCCTGGGGACATATTTGCTCATGAGGGGGTATACTTGAGATGGCACTTATAAGGAAGCCTGAGGGAGCCTCCACCCTGCCGTGGGCACTCAGAGGCTCCCTCATTAGCCTCCCAGGATGGAATGGAGCATCGGTTCTCAAACTCGAGCGTGCACCAAAACCTCCTGGAGGTTCAGGAGACCTGGGGAGGGGCCCAAGAAGTAACTTTTCTAACAGGTTCCCAGGGGATGCTGATGATTGGTCCAGGGACCTGACTTCCAGAAGCAATGGACCAGAAGTAGGGAGCAGCAGTATATTCCTGACTGTAGTATATGAGCACCTCTACT